ACAAAAGCCGTGGTTTAAAAGGGGCTTTGTCCTGGCAAATGGGAAACCGTCAGGGACAAGGCATCTAGAGGCGAGGATACGCCGCTGTTATCAATACGATTATACCGTAATCTCGATACCTGCGAGATATTTAATAACGAATCATGATCGTTGGTGGTCCAATCATCCTCTTCCTCGACCCTCTCTTTTTCTCCTTTTCTCTTCTAACTTTTCTACACGTTATGCGCTTAAAAACTACGCTTTCATAATAATTAACATTTTTTTCTTTTCTCGTAAATTTACGAGACTATTACAATGCGTTCAATGTTAATACACCCACTTTGTTTAACCTCTTCTTAAAGTTTGAAGCTCCTTTTCTTCTCCCGTCGTATCGTCGTATTTCCAAAAGAGAATAACGATTAATTTCTAGGGAATTTCACGGTATCGGTGTAAATAAAGTATCAAAGTACCTACTTGGAATGTTTCGCATTCGGCCGACAATTATTAGCTTTAAGAGAAGAAGTACGGGGTTTGCTACTTTCAAGCACGAAATTCCTTCTAATTTAATATCCCTGGCCGATAAATCATTCGGAGGTTTCTAATTTGGTAGGAGGCCCTTTGGCCCAAACCAGAATTGGCCCTTTGTCGGAGCACCGGCCCAAGTGCGAAGAATCCCATTAAACGCCATAAAGAAAGAATTTCTTTTTTCTTTCCTTCCTTCTCCGCCAACCACCTCTTCACCTTACTTTCCTCTTCGATAGTTCTGCTAAGGTTATTCCATATTAATTATCTTGCGCATCGATCGCCCATTACAGAAACGATCTAACCTTGTTACACTTTTTCCTTTCTTCTCTCTCCTCTTTTCCTTTTTTTTCAATGCATTTTCGATTTGGTTTCCAATTTATTTTCTATTCGTGCATCTGGTGTATCGATATATATATTTAAAAAAGAAAGAAATCTTTCTTCTCTTTGTACGAGATCTATTTCTGTTGGATAAAGAAAGAAAAAAGAATTAAGTTATTAATTATTTAATAAACGATTATAAACGAGATAGAGAGATAATGTTTTAAGGAAATAATTTAAATGAAAAATATTTTTTATCACATTAAAATGAGTTTTTAAAGGAAATAAAGCGAGGGAATTTAAAAAATCTAACAATTTTTTTTCAGATATATACAATAATTTATTTAACCACGAAGCAATGTTTACATTTACGGGCATCTTCGTGAGAGTACGATCGAGTACATTAATTATATTACGCTTGTAGATCATTTACGAGTCGTTCACACAATGGATGAACTTCCTTTCAATGGATTCGCACGTGATCCCGTTAAAATAACGAAATTTACGTTTCACAATTCTGTAAGTAACTTTTGTTCTCTAACAAAGAACGATCGAAATCCGTATTCCGATTTAAAGAAAGCAAGAAGCAAGAATGAAAGAAAGAAAAGAAATTTGTTGTGTAATTCTTAATTATTAATTATCTACAATTTCAATATTTTTCTTATACGTATACACATAATTTTCAATCTGTTATTATCTGTTATTAACTGTAACAAAGTATTTAATTTTTTTATATAAAATTTGTTGATCTCGTTAATTAGAAATTGTGCAAATCGAGAATAAGCTGAATATATAAACTTTAAAAAAAAAAGCATATAAAATCTGTTTCAATCGAAAAAATTTACATTAAATTTAGTGGAAAATCGATTTAAACTATTTACAAATGAAAAATAAATTTCTCTCTTTTCGAAAAACAAACGTGCAATTATTTTTTTAAACTAAAGAGCACGAATATTTTTCTGCAACTATGTGACTCGAATCGAAAAATTAAGATATTTACCTTTAACTTTATTGACTCTAATTCGATCGATTTCCTCTTCAAACGTGACATTCTTTTATAACACGGTATATAATAGTCATTGAAAATTATGGATCAAAATTTATAATATATATATATATATATATATAGTTTCAAAATTTTTTTTAAATTTTCCTACACATTTATTTAATAGAACTCTTTCTAAATCCCCAACTAATATAACACGTATAAATAAAACTCGATAAATATAAATTTTATTTCACATATCGAAGAGGAAACGTTATATCGATAATGTGGGAGGACTTTACGTTAACTAGATTAGACACGCAATTATGCATAATGGACGACAGAGCGTGACTATTACGCCGCATTTACACCTAACGAATAAACGCAAATAAGCACGAATAAACTTGAACAAACAAATGAGTATATCACTATTCCAAACACAAGTAATCGGAAAATACATTATAATTTATCATCTATTATTGATTCTAAATTGTTACTTAATATCATTCAATCTTTTTATAGCAATGTAAATTCGCATCAATAAAGTTTCACGTGAAGTTCAATGCGACGCAATGCGCAAGAAACAAGAGACTTTTGCGCATCCCACGCTACTTCGCATAACTGCTGTCACGTTTGTTTAAATAGTACTTGAAAGTTTGTTGAAATCAGAATTTGAAATCGAATATCAATAAAGAAAATCATAAATGTGAAGCGAATTATTGACTGTTCTTATGCTTGTTTGCTCGCTTGATGGAAGGTATGTTCATGTTTATTGATTCGTTGGTGCTTATTCGTGAGATGTAGTGTTGGTTTTAGTTAGTAAATAAGAGCTACAAACTTGCCGATTCTCACGCATTCAACGTTCCTCCTTTAATCATATTGAAGAATTCTTCCGTTACTCGAAGGTAAATAAGCAATTTCCAGAATAGGAGATTCGATCAAATAGTACTAAAAATTTCATTCTTTTCAAAAAATTGACATTGATACATTCATCTTATCGGCGTTAAGATATAGGTTAATAAGTTAATAGGTTAGGCAGAAAATAATCAATTTTAAATCGATTTATATTAATTTGAAATTATTCAACAAAACTTTTTTTCCCATTAATTTCAGGATAATCTAAAAATTTACAACTAACGATATTATGAAACAAAATTGTTAAATTCATTACAAGTAAATATAAATTAATTTGGTATTTCTTACATTAGTATCATCTGATCAGTTCTCGTATAATATACGTATCTAATTCTAGAAAATTTTTCTGATTATTTTAAAAATTATATTTAACTTAATATTTGTAATCACTGCAAGTGTATAGTTAAACTCAACATTTATCGTTAGTCAAATATCGTGAGTCAAATATTTTCAAATATCATCAGGTATAACAGTTTTTCGTATTTTCGCAGTTTCTCGAGTATTTTTCTAATTTGTAATATTTTCACTCGAGCAACTATATAAGATTGATATATTTTTCAATGTTCTTTAGATACTAATTTTCTAAATATTCTGCATTATGTTATAGCATATTCCTTCTTTTATCCTGTAAATAATATTTTGTGTTTTTGTAAAATATTTTATTGTATGTTTGGACTTACTACTTTAGTAATATATTTTTTTATTTTTTTCTTTGTTTTTCAAGTAATTTTAAATGACTTCGAGA